TTTTTTTTTTTTTGAGATAGTGTCTCACTCTGTTGCCTGGGCTAGAGTGCCCTGGCTTCAGCCTAGCTCACAGCAACCTCAAACTCCTGGGCTAAACTGATCTTCCTACCTCAGCCTCACGAGTAGCTGGGACTTTAGGCATGTGAAAAATTAGCCACTCCCAGCTAATTTTTCTATTTTTAGTAGAGATGGGCATTTCGCTCTTGCTCAGGCCGGTCTCGAACTCCTGAGCTTAAACGATCCACTCGCCTCAACCTCCCAGAGTGCTAGGATTATAGGCATGAGCCACCACGCCTGGCCAATAGTTTCTTTTAATTATACTACAGTATCTATTTATTGCAAGAGAATAAATACTATTCCATTTATTCAGATGAGACTATCATTCTGTAAAGTCTTCATATACTATTTCAATGACTGTAGGCTTGACCATATTATTTATTTTCAGATATAATTTTAGTTTGGATTCCCAATAACAATATCTCTCATGTTTGATTTCATTTATTAATGAATTAAATACTAAATATAAAATAACACCAACACATAATAAATTATATTTTTATCATAAACTATGAATTATATTTAAAATTACTTTCTCTCTTTTTTCATTTTAGATGAAAGAGAAGATGTTCAAAAGAAAACATTCACAAAATGGATAAATGCACAATTTTCTAAGGTATGAATTGTTTATTACTTCTTTTTTAAGATGTAGTATAAGTTGTAAAATTTTTAAAATGGACCATGTACCTGTGTGTTTCAAATGTCTATACTATTTTTTATTACTGTCATTTTATTTTAGCTGTGCAAATGTGAGAATATTATGCTGAATTTTAATTGAGGAATAACTAGCAAAATATATGGTAAAGAGCAATTATTTAATTTTATAAAATGTATACCTTTAGTTCTTCTTGATAATATGAATTTCTTTGATGACATGAGTCATCAGAGGATTGTAACAGCAATCTTCCGTCAAGTATGTAGTATATGTCATATATTAGAAGAAGATATGAGGGACTTTTATTAGTGTGAAAATTACCTTCTGTCTTTCTTCCTTTTTAGCAAGTTCAATAAAAACTAATATAACTGCATTGGATCTATTCAGCCACAATATCTTAGAGCATATTTCAAATAATTTAAGATGACAAATTCATCTTCTTCTTCTGGAGGCATCACTCCATATTCTTAATAATATTTATTTTGTAAACACAACTCAACTCATAATTGGTAGCACAACTCTAGATAATTATATATGAACACAGAGTAAGATATTCCTATCTTGAAAACTAGCATTAGGACTGCAATATAAGGAAGTTTGTTTGGATTTCAAGGAAAGAAAGACTTGGATTTACATTTAATCATTCAGGATTTGGGAAAATCAAATAATTATTTTTTGTGAGTCAGTTTTATCTTTTTATCATGTGTATGTGTGTTTGTGTATGTGTATGTATGGACAGAGAGAGAGAGAGAGAATGCACCAACTTGATCATCCAATCCAGATAATGGGAATATAAAGCTAATAAAATATAGTCTCTATACTCAAAGCTTGAAAATTCCTAGCACAATTCCTGATACTCTTAATATATATGTGTTATTCTCTCCACGGATCTGTCTCATTTTATAAAAATCTTGGTAAGAGATTCCAAAACAGTCCATGAGGAGATACAGTTTCAAAAGTGTTCCCTTTGCTATCACAGAAAGTTTTAGAGTATCATCCATTCTTTGTATTTTTTGATAGCAGAACTTTGCCAGGTACTCTTTAGTATAAGTTACTGAGATTTCACTAATAAAATTTCATTTTTGTTTACTTGCTGAATTAATAATTAATAAATTTTTATCACAGTACTTTAAGCAATAAACATAAACTGAAACATATAATTTTGAAATCTTCAATTTAGTTTTAACTAAATGAGGTACAAATAAAAAATAAAGAATAAAATATAGCAACACAAATATAAAACAATATAAAAAGTAAACAAAAATATTTAGCATAGAAATTCATAATTCTCAGAATATTTACATGATGAATGTATATGGTTTTTTTGCTGTATCTACTGGCTTCATAGATTTTTTTTTTTTTATTTTTTTTTTTTTATTTCAGCATATTATGGGGGTACAGATGTTTAGGTTACGTGTGTTGCCCTTGGTTCCCCCCCCACCAAGTCCGTGTTTCAAATTAAAATTTTGAAACAGACAATAGATAAGTTGTCAAACATACAGAAAAATCAGAATTGTAAAGATATTTTCTGAAATAATAAATGTAACAATACTCTGAATCTTTGAATAAAACCAATGGGTCATTTTTATAATGTATGTAAATATGACACTGTGTATCCTCATTCCTACGAATCTAAATAGATCTTCACTCTCTATACGTTGATATCCTCAAGTATCATTTATCACAACTTACCTAATATACATACCAAAGCTTCATATCCTACCTTCCATGACCTCATTGTTAACACTGCCTTAGAATAATTAGATATATTATTTCCTGTCCTTATGAGTGCTTATAATTTAAACGCTATAGAATAATCACATATGTGGGTACAATAACTTTTTCTCCAAGTATTTTCACCCTCTACTTCAACCCCCATATATTTCGTGTATATTATAAATATTATCCCCATACCTGTTATAATTGAATTAGGAAAGTCACCATTCTTTTGAATATAGATATCCATTATCAGGCATATTCTAGGTATCAATAATGTAAATAAATATTTATAAAGACAGAGGAAATACTTATTTAAATGTGAAATGTATCTTTGTGTGGATGTTTTCTTTTCATTTGAAGAACCTGGAAGTATAATGTTCATATTATTTTTTTCTGTCAAAACTTCAGGTAAGTTACTATATTATTTTTAGACATTTTTGAAGATAATGAGAATTAAGAGAAAGCTAGTTGATTCACTTTATACCACTTGGTGTAATACCAAAAGATAAACATAATTGTGATATATTTGGCAGTTAATTATTGCATCAGTACATGGCTTTCAGCAGAATTCTAGGCCTATAGGATACACAAAATTAGTTCAAGTGGAATCATAATCTTGCGAAACCTGTACAGTCTCATGGGAGATGTTAGCGAATTGCTAAATGGAGTAGAACTGAGTGGGCTATGTATAGGTGGTCTGAGCAAGCAATACTCTGGGCTAGAGGGAATCTGGTAGAAAGCTCTAAAATGGGCATCCGTTGAAGGTAGGAATGTGTATTTTCTTTGTTACCTCAATATTCATTACTAGTGCACTAAATAAATATAATAAATACATTTGGTGAATAATACAGATCATTAAATCTATGCCAACTTTAGAAAAAGAAGAAAAATTCTGGATGGAAAAATATGTGAAGAATACTTAAAAAAGAGATAGAAAAGACAATGAAAAATTATCATCTGTTGTGTGGTAAATTAGATTCAGACACACATATACATAACATTAAAAATGAATATGAGTTAAAAGGTGTATCAGTGAGGCATATGCACACATTTCTATAATATTTGTAAATTATAGAAAGATAACAAAGTAGTTTCTTTTTATTTTGTAAAGCTACAGAAGGGATATTTTAAGGAAAAAAATGTGATTAAATATACCCTTATGGTTTTGGTGTCTTTTGAGGCCAAATGTGTCTTTACAGTAAATCCAAGTGTTCTTTTACTTTCCTAGTATCTTTATAAAATAAGCCCTATATCTTTTTAAAATAAGTCTTCTATTAACCTTCAATTCCAAAAATTTCTACTAGAATGTGATGTATCACATCTATTCTATACAGATAAGCAAACAATATTTATCTCCACATAAACACAAAGCCATTTCTAGATAAGATTAATTCGAGGTAAATATTCTTTCCATGCAATTTGTAGATATGCTACATCCTTAAAAAGGCTAATGTTTATTGTATGATAAATAAAATTCGCAATATAAAAATTTTGCTCATTGACACAGTTATTAACAGAAAGTACAATTTTGAAATCATGACAAAAAACAATTTTGTCATGTAACTTGCACTTGATGTTTGTGTTTGAGGAAAAAAAACCTATGGGAAAAATATATACTACTAGATTAATTACAAGATATCAATAACCCATCTCCCAATGAGTTATATGAGGATTTTGATCCTACACTGGATTTAGTGATTATCATTGTTTCCATACTATAACTCCACTCTTCTGTCTGATTTTTCCCAACATAGTATGAAGGTTTATACTTAAATGAAGTAAAAATGTGTAATTAGTTTTGTCTGTGCTTCACAGGAGCCCACGATGTGATAGGACATTTATATATTCATTGCTACAACCTATATGTCCACATTAAAAACCCAGGACTCACCCTCTCACCACAACAATATCATGAGATAGAATAAAATTATGTGACATACTTTTCCCAAGAATTCTTCAGGATTTACCTTCTAGTCAGTATGATGAGCATGATATAGTGCAAATTAACAGTAAAATTGTGAGTCTGCCAACCAGGATTCTTTACACGACTCTGCACCTTAATGGAAACATTATATCCTTACTTTATTGTGGAAAGAAAAGTAAACATAAAATTCAAATTTTTCGAGTCTTATTTTTCTTATATGTCTATGCCTACTTGTAAAAAAACGTATATTAAAAGGGCATTATAAACAGTAAAACATATAAAATAGTGCCATTTTGTCATTGTAATATATTATTTTGAATAGAAGGAGTCATACATTTATGCAATTTATCTACTGAGTATCTCCTTTCTATTTATCTCTATTTTCCATCTTGTCATCTGGTCTTCTTGAGAACATGACATTTAAGTTATAATCATCATGTTCCTAACTCCATAATTTCATAATGCTATTGAAACAAACATGAATTTTAATTCCACAACTTAGTTTGTAATGAGCCCTATTTCTTTGTTTTTCTAAATTGGATAATTCTGTTCCTACAGCAACTAGTACCTCCAACAGTCTGACTATTAAGAAATTCAATCACAGTAACATTTTGCATTCTTCATCTTCTTTCCACTTCCATTCCCAAGGGCCAGGTAGGGTTTAAAATACTGCAAAAGAATGTCCTCATTATCAATCCATTCTGGTCACAGCTTATATACCTAAAGGCCAAGTGAACATGAATACACAAAGGGCAGCTTGTCCACAATGCATTGCCTTGCTTGGGAACAGAGGGTTTTGCTGATGGCAGAAAACTGTGTGCTTGGTATCTGGCCTCTATAGCCATTTAACTGGGATGTCATAACACACCATCTGCAAGCTCTGTGGCAGAGTAGCATGTTGGCATCCACAATTACAGTCCTTTCCCTGTGTTTGACGAAGCTTATTAAAACTCTCTTTAGTCTGACCGATCCCACATCCCCATTCTCCTGAAACTTAACCCACATATTCCTGTTCAATTGGAACCTTTTATCAATCATGTATATGAACCTAGATTTTCAGAACTAAAATTTTAGATGGGTGATTTTCTTCTGGATGCCTGCTCATTTCATTCTAGAACATGGTTTAGGCTATCTTTTTGGCATCAAACAGGGAGAACAGAACATGTATTTATGGGTTATGCTGCTACACTCTCTATGCCAATCCATGTCCTCTATAAGCACGCACATACACACACACACACAAACACATACACAGTGATCATGTTATATATTTAAAGTGAGTTTAAATTTTTCATTTTGTGAAAGTAAGATACTGGAA